CCCGCTCCACAACTAATCGCAGGTTCGATAGGTGCAATTGTATGGTTAAAATATATATAAAGATTATAAGAGTCATAGAGAGCATGAGAGATAGAAGAGAGATTGAAATAATGGAGTCAGACACATTTATGATAGCATGCTCACCTCCTGGATGGCAATGATCTTACCAGCCAGGTCCGTGCACAGTGTGGGTCGAGGTGAGGTGAGGCGGAGACCCCGTTTACTGCTAACCAAGGCTTACATCTACTTAGGGGGGCGTGATTACAGGTAACCACACATCACAGGAAGGGGCAGTACAATAGGCATAAGTGTGACAGGAAGTGGATGAGCTAGGGGTGTGCACATGATACGAAGGGGTGGGACTAGGGGTATACATGTGACAAGATGAGCGAACCCTAGATTCATGATGGCAGCCTAACCTTGGTCACCCTTGAGTGGGCTGGACCTCCCTGGGCTCTCCTTCAGGGAAACAATTTACTACTCTCCTTATCAGAAGGGAGTGGGCCCTACTTGTGGGATAAATAGTGGTGTCTGCTTGCTCTGGATGGCTGATAACCCTTAGGGAGAATAACCCCTGGCCTACTTCTGTTGACCTCCAAGTGTATAGTCATTCACCATGTGTAGCAAGCATCTAAGTTTGGCATATATTTGGTGGAGACAACTTGGGAGAAATCTTTCTGTTTCCCACACACAGGGTTTTATAACCAAATATTGGAAAATGAGATATTATACATTCGCCATATCATAATGGTCATATTGACCAAACTGGTACCGAATGGGATATACTATAAATTGATATGGAAATTGGGAGCCATTTCGGAGACAGGTTACTAGAAAAGAAATGATTTACCTTACTTTTCTATAAGGAGAAATTTGCTGACCTACATATTTCTTAGGATTATATCTTCAAAAATGTGGATAGTAATTTTTGTTAAGCTACTCAGAAAATAATTGAAGTTTTTAATATGTGGTATACTCTGCATAAAAATCAGAAGGTCTAAGCAGGCAGTTGATTTTTTTTCCCCTCATAACTTTTCCCTTAGGAAATTTACACTGTCTGGCCAGCTCTCCTTGGGGGGATTTTGGCTGTACTTCCTCCTAGACAGATCTATTCATTCTTCTGACATATTCAATATTCTTTTCCAATGTCATAATTCAAAAGTGTCAGTTCTTCTTTGCTTTTCCCTACATACTGTTCTACTTTTATATGCATAGTTTGGAATGAGTGGGCCTTAATCCTCAAAGTGAAATCTTTGCTTTATTAACACTTTAAAGCAATCTTCTTCTGTATATGTACCCAATGCAATCCATTTTGGTGTGGTTTTTTTTTTACTGCTGTTTCCATGGGAGTTGATTGTGAATCTAAGTTAAAATCCTTGACAACTTCAATATATTCTGCATTTATCATGATTTTTCTTATTGTCCAGTTGTGAGAATATTTTTCTTTGTATTGAGTTGTCATTTAGACTAAGGATACGAATACTTGATATACATCAGTAAGCACTTCAAGTCCTTTATACTTTCAACAAATTAGATTATGTTATCTGCATCTTGTGGGTTATTAATAAGTCTCCACACCCGAAGCCACATTCTTCTTTCTCTGGTCCTGAATCCACATTTATCTAGTCTAACTCCTCATATCATTTGCTCAACATGATGCACCCATTTGTCTTCAGTGATCCGTTCCACACCTCGTGATCACACAGGCTGAGATAGATGTTGTTCCATGTGGGCTTTGTTGTTTCTGAGCTAGATGGCCGCTTGTTTACCTTCAAGCTTTTAAGACCCCAGATGCTAGTATCTTTTGATAGCTGGGCACCATCGGCTTTCTTCACCACATTTGCTTATTCACCCGCTTTGTCTTCAGCGGTTGTGGACCAGGAGTATGGTCTTGACCCCAAGGTTGCCAATGCAATAATGAAGGCAGCAGATGAGGTGGCTGAAGGTAAATTAAATGACCATTTTCCTCTTGTGATATGGCAGACTGGATCAGGAACACAGACAAATATGAATGTAAATGAAGTCATTAGTAATAGAGCAATTGAAATGTTAGGAGATGAACTTGGGAGCAAGAAACCCGTGCATCCTAATGATCATGTTAATAAAAGCCAGAGTTCAAACGATACTTTCCCCACTGCAATGCACATGGCTGCTGCAACAGAAGTCCATGAAGTACTGCTACCAGGGCTACAGAAGCTGCATGATGCTCTCAATGCAAAATCCAAAGAGTTTGCCCAGATCATCAAAATTGGTCGTACTCATACACAGGATGCTGTTCCACTTACTCTTGGACAGGAATTTAGTGCTTATGTTCAACAAGTAAACTATGCAATGGTAAGAATTAAAGCTGCACTGCCAAGAATCTATGAGCTTGCAGCTGGAGGCACTGCGGTTGGTACTGGTTTGAATACTAGAATTGGCTTTGCGGAGAAAGTTGCTTCAAAGGTGGCTGCACTTACAGGCTTGCCTTTTGTTACAGCTCCAAATAAATTTGAGGCTCTGGCTGCTCACGATGCCTTGGTTGAACTCAGTGGAGCCATGAATACTGCAGCATGTAGTCTGATGAAGATAGCGAATGACATTCGTTTTCTGGGTTCTGGTCCTCGCTCAGGTCTGGGAGAACTGATACTGCCTGAAAATGAACCAGGAAGCAGTATCATGCCAGGAAAGGTGAACCCTACTCAGTGTGAGGCTCTGACCATGGTTGCCGCCCAAGTCATGGGAAATCATGTTGCTGTTACCATTGGAGGCAGCAATGGACATTTTGAGTTGAATGTTTTCAAGCCAATGATGATTAAAAATGTGTTACTTTCAGCAAGGCTGCTCGGTGATGCTTCAGTTTCTTTCACAGAAAACTGTGTGGTAGGAATCCAGGCCAACACCGAAAGAATCAACAAGCTAATGAATGAGTCTTTAATGTTGGTAACAGCACTTAATCCTCATATAGGTTATGACAAGGCTGCAAAGATTGCTAAGACGGCACACAAAAATGGATCAACCTTAAAGGAAACTGCCGTTGAACTTGGCTATCTCACTGCAGAGCAGTTTGATGAGTGGGTGAAGCCTACAGATATGCTGGGTCCAAAGTAATTTAAATGTATTTCAAATAAAAGCAATCCTATTTGAAATAAAACATAAGAAAAAAAATTGAATAAGTATGGTATTAAATAAGTATGGTTAAGTATTGAATGTATTGAATAAGTATGGTAAAGAATATAAACTTTAAACACACCTTTTGTGATTTTAAACCATGCAGCTTCCCCTTGTCAGGTGTGAATGAGGTTACATGTTCATTTGGTTGCACCTTTGATTCTTATTGGAACTCCCACCAAATAACCTTTCCCTTCATGGGTCGGTTAATGAGGTGGAGGAAGATTCTGACAGGATAAGATTTGCCTGTGAATAACTGTGAACAGGATTCCCTGCAATGCCACCTTGCTTTGTATAAAAGGAGCCCTCTGAGAAGAAGGGTGTGTGATCAGATCACTGGGAAGGACCTGGAGTGGAGCATGTCCTATAGACCCAGCACCTGCCCAACCCTAGCTGACTTTTGGATTTGGGACTTTACAGCACCACCATCACCCCCAAACATGAAGCATTTCCTCAAACTTTCATGAGTTTCTGTGGGACACTGTAGTGATTGGTAGAACCCAGAAACGTGAGGGCATCCAATCAAGGAGGAGTGGGGAGATATGGGGCAGACTAGAATATTAGAAGAGTTGTACATTTGGGACTAATACTAGTTTGGTGTTAATTTTTACAAAAGAAAATATTACCACAATGTTCTCCTCAAACTCGTATTTGAGTTTCTGTACAGTTGGTGTCCATTTGTAAACGTCTTTAATTTTCTTCCCTATAGTTTTGCTTCAATGAGATAGTGTTCAATAGTTTACACATTCTGTTGCACCACTTTTCTTTGCATTGGGCCCAGAAATGGATCTCTTCCAGTTGGTAGACCAAGTTGCTGATTTTTAAATTCCTGAGCTTAGACAAATGAATGATTTTAGCATTATATCCTTTCATTAAAACATATCAATAATTATTCTGTCAATTACCGGAGTCAATTTTTGCCAATGCTCCCAGTGGATCTTGGACTTTTTCCTTCAATAATATAAATTTATGATCATATGCTACCTCCTGAGATGGCTGAACATTGCCCAATTGTTTTGGGTATAGTGACTTGGTGCATTCTTTCTGTCTTCTTTTGATACATCCTGTGTGTGTTATTCTGGGTTGACTAGAGAAACAAATTCAAAGACACTCATATGTGTGTAAGAGAGAACTTTATATCAAAGAGGAATTGTGCATTAAGAAAACATTCCAGCTCAGTCCAGATCAAGTCCATAAATCTTTTATTACCACATATGTCAATACTAGTCCATAAATTCCTCTTTAGATTAATGTAGCCATGCCATGATGCTGACTGCAGGAAGATCACAGGATAGTGGGTGGAAAGTCTTGTGGATCCAGTGGTGGTGGAAGCATCTCAATGCTGGTGTGGGTCTCCACATGGTTCCTCCAGTTCCAGGGCTCTGGCTGTATCAATGTAGCTCCATATGGCTTGTCAGCAGGAAGACAAAGCACAGAGAGTCTCCCACCTCCAGGGAGGAATACCAGAGTTCCCAGAATCCTCAGAAGGCCATGCCCACACATATTGGCTATGGCCTGACTGACAGTCTAGACTCCACCCCTTTGCAAGTTAGCAGGAGATTATGTAATTGTCACACTGTGCTAGGCACTATTTTGCCCATGGTATCTTTCAATATTATAGTTCAAGTCTTGAATTTTTCCCTCATTAGTTGGCATCATAAATAATTAGGTTTTTTATTCCCTTATGGTTTTGTAACTCCATGTTTTTGTCCATTTTATTATACTAGTTTTCTTTTTCAACGTGAGCCATCCTTTGTAATCTGTTCTGCTCTTATATTTCATCACCCCGCCAGTCCCTGCCACCCATCCCCATTAGCTTTAACTACTATACAAGCAAGAGTAAGTGTCAGAGTCCTTTCTGACCTCCATTTTGACCTTTTCTTTCTTCCCTCGCTTTTCAATGACCTTCTGCTTTTTTCAAATATAATGTTCTTGATGGCATTCCAAGATTCGTGTGGTGTTGGGTCATTACTGTTCAACGTGTCAAATCTCTTCTTGCTATCATCTCAATATTAGTGGATATTCTCCAAGTTATACTTTGGTTCTTATGGATTTGTTTTCTTTTTCTTTGACTTCAATTTGAACTTTCATATAAGCAATTAATGAGCTGTTTTATATCAGCCTTTGGTCTTCTCATGACAGACAATATTGAGTTTCTTCACCAATTCTTTGCATAATTGTATTTAATTATATTTATGTGTATTCTATCCATTTATATAGTCACTACTTCCAATGTTGAAAAAAATATTTGCAATGAAAAGTGGATCATCTTACAAAATTCTGTCATGTGATCTCATGTCATTTCAATAACCAAGGTTATATTTTGTAACTACAAATCCTTTTTAGCTTCCAATTTTCACATTCCAATCACCAGTAATTATCAATACAACTTTTTTGCACATTTGATCAATTTCAGACTTCAGAAATTGGTAAAAATACTTCATTTCTTAATTTTTGTCATTAGTGGTTGGTGAATAAATTTGTATAATATTTATATTAACTGGTCTTTCGGGGAGGTTTATGAATATTATCCTTTTACTCAGAATTGCACTTCAGGATAGAGCTTGAAATTTTATTTTTAATGATGAATGCAACAATATTCTTTTTATGTTTTGCCATTCTTGACATAATAGACCATGTGACTGTCCAATTGAAAATGTCAAATACCAGTCCATTAAAGTTCTCTCAGGGCTAGGATATTGATTTTTATGTTATATTTATTTTTTATAATATTTTCAATTTTCTTATATTCATACATTGTATAGTCCATGTTCTAATTATTAATGGATGTCTGCAGCTATTCTATTTTCTCACTTTTAATTCTACCAAGTCAGCAAATGAAAGTTCCCAAAGCCTTGTTCCTTCTATGTCCTTAAGATCAACTATCCTTTGGGGAGGCAGCTCTCCTCCAGTTGTATTTTGAGCGCCTTCCAACCTGAGATGCTCAGCATGTGCCAGGCACTGTACCAAACAGTGAGGTATGCAACCGTGAAAGAGCTGCTCCAAGAAGTTTAAGTTTAAAACGGCATTATACAATAGTAAGCTGGAAAGTCAAAAGAGTACGCCATCAAGACAAATAAAAAGTAAACATAAACACCTTTATCCAACAAAAAAGCAAGTAACATTTTCTCTGTGATACACAAAGAAAGGGAAAGAAGAAAGAAATCCATTATATTTGCAAATCTGACACCATAAATCAACCCCTAAACATGTGAAGCTTAAATTCACACATCTAGATCAGAGGTCAGCAAAATGTTGAGACAGAAGAGCTGATCCTGTCTTTCAAGACAATTTAGAATTATTCCAGAGCCAAAAATATATTTTTACAAACAAATGAAATCACCATTATCTGAATAATATCCTTTTAATTTTTTTTCAATTTTACTTGAAAGCCACATGTACCTCCTTAAAGAGATTGAGCAATTTGCTGACTCCTGGTCTGGATGATGAGGAAAACAATACAGAACAAAATAAAACAAAACAATGATAATATGACAGGAAATTAACATTGTGGATTTAGTGTACAATTTCTCACATCAGCAGTGTCCTATCTCCCTGCAGAAGCACAAATATGCTTGGTTTAGAAGATACTATTTCATCTTGAGACTCACCTCTTTCATTAACAGAATGTGGTAGTTACATCATCTGAGACTTAAGAGTGAAAGGGTGGAGTTTAGCCTGTTCATCAGGTCACAGCTTGAAGACCTCATTTGGTAGGCACTACGGAGAGAAATAGCTCACAGGAGGTGGGACACACACTCCCTGCAAGACACTATTGACAAGGAGCCTGGGTGCTGATGCAGCCAGAGCCCTGGGAGCTGGAGGAACCAGATGGAGACCCCTGGCAGTGCTAAGAGGCTTCCACTGCTACTGGATTCAAAAGACTTTCCACCCACTGGCCTGTGATCTCCCTATACTACTGGGCATTATTGATGGCTGTGACTAGTATTGGACATATGGGCTAATATTGGACTTACAGACTTGATCTGGACTGGGCCTGGATGTACAATTACTCTTTATATAAAGCTCTTTTTAAAAAAAATCAATTTATTGGGGCTCATACAATTCATCACAATACATAGATCAATTGTGTAAAGCAC